TTAGTTGAGGAAAATGCAGGAGAATAATTCTCTCCTTCAAAAACCTGTTATTCTCTCCTTCAAACATATCGTCATCTTCAACAGCGAGTTCTTCCACCTTGTTAAAAGATAGGGAAGTAGAGTGTCCTTTAACATCCTTTTCGATACTACTGTAATCTGAAACTAAGGAGTCTCTTTCTGGAGTTCGAACAGCTTCATTTTTGGAAGTCGGAAAAGACTGGAAAGCATCCCAATCATCATCTTCTTCCTCTTCCTCAGTAATGTCATCAGACTCTTTTGGAGCAGCTAATGGAGAGGGATTTTTCTCTTTATTTTCTTGTGTTTGTGAAGGTAACTTTATCACTAAGGGTGGAAGTGAGGATGTCGCTGGCGTCGGGTTCTAACCTTGTGTCACAGATGCACAGATTAAATCCTAAAATTATGAATTATTTATCATAATGAGGATATTAAAATTCCAAGTTGTCCTACAAAAGAAAAAAAACATATAGATTTCAAACAGATAAACACACAAGAATAGGAAGAAGTCTAGAATTACAAGTACCCTGAGATTCTCTTCCCTTTGTATGCATAATGTGATATGAGCATATAGAAAGAAATTTCTTGAAGCTTGAGTTAAGTATTAAAACATTCATTAGAACTATGGTTTATTTCAAAAATCAAGTATTCTGCATAGAGCATCAAGAGTTTTTTCAAATAATTTAAATAAATAACAAATTAATGGTGAGTATACCAGGGTTTAACAAGAAATATAATGGAAACGAGCAAAGATGAACTACAGTTGCCTACTAATTCAATTTTTTCGAAATTCTATCAATAATTTCAAAGAATACAAGAACCTGGAGCTGCTGTCTTCTTATAGCAGGCATTGCCAATAAAATATCCTTGATATAAGCTGCTGACCTAAAAATTTGAGCGAGTTGCGAAACAAGTTTTACAGCTGCACTTTGTAATTCATTAGCTTCCTATAATTGAAATTGACAATTAGAATGGAGAAAAAGGAAACTAAACCAGAATTGGAGGGATTACCTGAGAAAGAGAACCATCTGATGTGATCATGAGAACAGCTTCCAAAAGCAGATTTACAAGTTCTTTCCGATATTCATTAGCTTTTGAAAGAATTTGGAGAAGCATTAGAATTTTCAAGAGCCACTGCGAAATGGTCAAATCAAATGATGGGCGAGCATTACTCTCTCTTCTCTGAGCACAAACACATGAAGGGCCTCTGCCTAGCCATGCTGCCGATCCTGCCACAACCTCCACTGTAACACATTTAGAAGGACTTGGTTTAAATGTTAGGAACAAAACTATTTGGGTCAACCAAGATTAATATTATTGATGATTAAGACCTGTTGGGTCACCGAGTTTTCTGCAGCAACCGGAAACACGGCGTGTCTTCATTGTACACGGAGACAGGAACTTTATTGTTGATGATTAGTGGAACTTTAGTGTTGAAA